AAAACAAACCAAAAAAAAAAAAAATCTAAGCTATTTCTAACCTTCCAACCCCTTCCCCCACCTGCCTAGCAAGAGGATATGATCTAGGCTCCAAAATCCATCTCTCCTACAGTGTTCCTGTACAGACTATCATTATCATGAAATGGCAGCAATCTCCACAGGTACCAAACAATGAGAAAAAAGGGACATAGAGTCTGTGAACAGCAAGCTCATGAGGTGGGGGAGGCATTTGTTCTCTATAGAAAAAGTTAATGAGCCTCCCATCACAGCATTGTCCTGACTAACCCTGATCTGGCTTGCATGGGAGCCAGGGAATAATGTGCCCCTTGCTTGAGGGTAATCTTGGGTCAAACATGGCGCCTATAAGTTCCAGAAGCTTAAAAATATCATCTAAATGCAAAACAAATAGAAATCAGTTTTGTTAAAGGGATACAGTGAAAAGTTTTGCCGTTTCCAATATGGCAATACCTTCAAGAAATATGGGGAAAAAATCTCTTCCCCAGCCAAATAGTTTTTCTTCTTGTTGCTGAATAATTTCACAACTACATTGCAAGACACAAATACATAAAAAATGCACCATAGCAGGCAGTTACCAGCCAGTATATCCAGGCCTCAGAAAGACTGTGATCAGAGAATGAGGTTGTGCACACCAAGGCTTTGTTTAACATCAGCTGAAGCTGCAATCAAGTTAATAAAAATCTGTTATTTCAGTTCATTCCAGACCACTCTGTCCCAAGCATTTTTCTGAAACACTTCAAGGACTTGTTAGCTATATAGCTGAAACCAAAGAAAGCTGAAACTCTACAGGTGAGGAAAAAACAGGTACCATGTGGAAACCCTCAAAAATGGGATCATTGTAGAAACCTCAATCAAACTGCCTCTCTCCCCCAAACATCCTGCATCACTACAGTGTTGCATGTCCAGTGGGCCACATTCTCGTAGGGGCCCAAGTACAACAGCTGTAAAATAGTTTAATGGCTATATACTATCCCCTTTTTCTCCCTTAAGCCAAATCCAACTGAGCAACTTTTCTTGCCACAATCATCCAGTGCTGCTAGTATGCATCTCTAAAGATTTTCTATTACCACTCCATAGTGTAAAGGTGATGCAAGTAACCCAGTTGTCTCATGCAGAAGACGACACACGGAATTAGATAAGTAGGGAAAAGGCAAAAAAAATTCCAATGTTGTGGTTACTGTAACAGCGGCTTGTGTTACCTTGGTAGCACAGGGTCCTTGGTAGCACAGGGTCCTGCGTGAACTATATAAAGCATATAAGAACTAAAAAAGCAGAATTATAGATGTTTCCACTGTGCAATTAATACTTGTTTATACGAGGAGCCATTAAATAAAGCTGCTCTAGCAGCATAAAACAGACGTGACAAGGCTAAGCAGTTCTGGTTTTACCTGCTCTGGCAGCAATATGCAAATATTTCACACTTTCTAATTTTCTCCTTCTCAACCAAGATCCCCCCAATCGTAATAGTGGTTTTCTTTCCATAGCCATTTTAACCATAGCAAACAAATGAAATTTCAACTTTGCCATAGAAAAAAAATTACGAATAAAAACAAATGTAATACTTTGGAAAAATCAAATGTTTTTTTTTCACCTTGTTGCCTTTCTAACATACACAAATTGAAGGGAAAGGCTGGACTTGTTTTGCAGAATTGCTGAATCCCTAAATCCAAATCAAGTCAATGATAATAGCTCAAGACCCAGTAAGATCTGGCCTTTGGTGCTCTGACTTAAGAGGTTTTGCAGGAAACAGTTTGTGCAGAAGCCCTTTTCAAAAGCCAAGAGAAAGGGACCAATTCTGAGCATTTGTAATGTTGCATGGTGCTCCCTGTGCTACTTTTAGCACTTTTCTATGTATTCAAGCAAGCACTGTATAAAGAAAATGCATTGTATTCAAGTTGTATTACATTTATGTCACTGAAATAGTAACAGCTATGAATTCTATGTAAGAAATGTTTATGAGACAACACATGTTAATGAATACCTAGGGACTCCTCATTACATGAATCAGTGACACAATAGACTAACGGTTAGTGGAAATGCATATTTAAAGGCTCTTTCATATGCATATTACTGTACTAACAATGCGGCCATTGTGGTCTGTTTTGTCAGAGGCCTAGTTGGGGGACTCTTTTGTCCACAGATTCTGTATTCAGAACACAAATTGTTGAAACAATACAGAGTAATGTTTCCTTTAGAGATGTAATCTATCGTACTAAAGCATATACTTTGGGTTCAGCTCAAGCAGATACTGCAAGGCCAAAATCAGCCTTATACATATGCACCCAAGAGAAATACTCCATCAAAACCCAGAGCAACCTCTACAACTGCATAACAGTTCAAGCAAGATATGCAGCTGCAGCAACCATTATTATGCTGCTAGCACCCACTAATGGGTCTTTACAATAATCTAATGTAAGGATGGATATATATGCTACAGTAGCACAATGTTAAGTACAGCATACTCCTGGCAACAAAATGGCATCCTTATCTCCATATCTGACCCAATGTAAACGACAATCTTAAAAAAAAGGAGATTGTTAGTCCTGTCAGTTTAACTGATTTTGTTTTTAAAAGTACTGTACCCCAATCCTTCTGAAAGACCCACATAAAGGGAGTAGAAGTGAGCCACTGAAGCAAAACAGTGAAAACATCACAAAATGCTGTAAAAGGCACAAACTGAAGTTAGAGGCAAAATTAGAAAAATAGAAAGTTATATAGAACATTTTGCCACTAAACTTGCTTTGCTTGCTGTTACACTATTTGTAAGCAATAGGCAGGTAAAGGGAATCAAACAATACTATTTATTTTTAAGTTAATTTCACCCTTTTGAAACAGATTTGAAAGCTGTTGGAATTTATTCAGACAACGATCATGCTCAATTCCTAAACCCATATCCCAAGCAAATGTTACCAATAGTGAAATTAGTTCCACAAGAATACTGACTTCCTGAAAAAGAGAACAGATTGATGGCTTTAAAGCATGTACAAGTGCCTTTGAGAAAAATAACTTACCAAAAAGATAACCAAGAGTACAGGCTTGTCTATACATGGATTTATCCCCGTTTCACTATCCCTAATTAACTCCAGGTGAATACCCTGGGACTAAAAGAGTATACACACACGAATTTAATAAGGAAAATTCCATGTATAGACAAGCCTTGATAAATGAGTGGTTTGTCCTGAGAAATGAGTCAACTGTCAACTTATTTTCTAACCCTGTCCTTATAATTTTCTGACTCCCAGACTATTTGACTATCCTACCTGTACTGAATCCTAAACAAGCAATATGTGCTTTAATTTCATGTTTCATTGCATTATAGGAAGTCAGTGGTTTGAGGGGAAAAATACTGTAAACATTTAAATAAGAGACTTTCTAGTAAGTACCATGGGAGTTGGACATTTTTATCAGTTTTGGGGTATTACTGGTAGTTAATAAGAACTGGGAGAATGCTCTCTAAATGACATTTAAGGACTTAAAGTAGTAAACATTGTTTTAACAGGAAATAGTTGGTGGCAAAAACCATTTTAGATAACGATATTAAACTTACATTTTCTGAATCATTTACTACTAGTGTTCAAATTTTTCTTCATAAATCTTCTATTAAACTTTCTTCTAACTCTTACCACAGTTAAGATAAATTAATTCTGGAATGCCTTTGACTCCAGAAGAGAATCCAAAAGGAGGGGATTTGAATAGAACAGCTGTTCAGGGTCCCCTCCAAGAATAAAGGGGCTTTTGTGGTAAAGGAACAGGAATTTAGAAGAAGAATGTGTGGAATTGGGCAGACAGTTTTGGAAGTTAACAAAGAGAACTAGTACTCAAGAGAAAGGAAAAATGCTGCAAATGGATGAGAGAGGACACCAGCTGGACTGTTAGGAAAGAGAGACATGATGAGCAAATTTTTCAGAATAGGTCAGAGTCAAACCTTAGAACTTTTCTAAATTGTCTATCACCAGAAAGGGTTAGGGTTGTGGGTTTGGGTTGCCGGAGGGGTAGTATAATTTTGTTTTGGGTCATTTCCCTCTCTTTATCAAGGTTTATAAAAGGCCTTATCCACCATTTCTGCCAATCCAATGCCTGTTTCCCAGGAAACAGGAACAGAAATGGTATCTGTCAACATACAAGAAGTGTTAGGACTCCTGTCAGTTGCAACAAGGCTAGAGGGTAAGGGACAGATCCAGTAAGGACCTTAAAAGGCCTTTAGGTTAGATGTTGCAACTCCACATTTTTCTGCACCGGACCCCCAGAGTAGAATCCAGAACCTTACATTAGGTTGGAAGGCTCCCTATGAAAGAGTGCATGCAGAAAGTTACATGTCTCAGAATGGGATACAAACAGCCTGAACAATCAGAGAGTCCTTAAGAAGGATTCTGCTGGGCATACAGCTGTCTAGAGCTAGCCAACAGGAAATTCTTAGGACAGGGTCTCAGAAAGGAGGTCTTAAATTCCTCCCCTCAGGTGTCCCTATCTATTTGGGTCTGCTTCACCTGTTCCAGGTCATGCAGCTGCCGGAAGAGC